ACCCCTTATCCTTCTCACCCTTTCTTCCCCACTCTCGTCTTCCCCAAACTCAAAACCAGATCCACCCTGCTCCCGTCTTTTATGTTTCGATCACTACCGCCACTCTCCTTTCGACATCCCCCACCGCTTCTTTGGCTTTGCTAACCACCTGCAGCTGTCACTCACCCACCTCGCCTGCGCCACGCCATCACTTGGCTCCCTTCCTCCGTCCACACCACCATCTCTCGACTCCCTCTTTGATTACAGGTACGTCTCCATGGCGATGACTCTTAAGCTCGTTTCCTTGTCCCTCATCCCGCATTCCTCCTCTCTCACCATCTTGGCTTCGCCAGACTTCGCCTTTACCAAATTGGGTCAACCGGCCCTTTCTTTGCTCCAGTACCACTTCTGACCTCTTCTCCTGCCCCTCCAAACTCTCATATTTCTCCCCTCCCGACACCAAGATCCCGAATTTACTCTCCAGCCACCTCTTCGTCGTCGAATCCGGCACCATACCTTACTTGCCCAAAACCCTCTTCGATTCCTCCCCTTCCTTCCAAGACAATGCGTAAGACACCACGGCGGTGATCGCACATGTGGCAGGGTGTGAGAAGTGAGGGGAAGCGTTTCAGAGGGTTTTCGGGGTTAGCATTTTGGCATTTTTGCTAGATCTCTCGACCAGGTTGAGCTTGAGGAGCAAGGAGAACGCGGTGGGTGCGCTGCTCAATTTGTCCAGGTGCGGCGGAAAGAGGGCGTTGAGGGAGGTGAGGGAGGATGGGCTGGGAGTAGTGGATGGGATCGCTAATGAGGCGGAGAATGGCAGCAAGGAAGAAGGGTGGGTGAGATCTGGGTTTAGGGTGTTTCTGGTTTTGGGTTGGGGAAGACGGGAGCTAAGAAGAAGGGTGAGGGGATAAGGGGTGGGTCCCCCATGCAAAAAAAATGATTTTATTTTTTTTTAGTTTTCAATATTTAATTCATTTTTTAATGGAGAGTGAGCCTCGTCTTAAGCCATGTCATTATTTAACGGAAGAATTAACAAACAAACTAACGGAATGTATGAAATTGTATAAATTCGTAAGAAGAGGTATGATATTGAAATTTTGTAAAGATTGGGTATGAAACTGTGACTGACCCAATAGTTAAGGTAGTTTTATGTAATTTACCCTATTACTTATATTAGAGTACTTCTCAACATAATTATGTACAACTGGTTTTTTTTTTTTCTTTTTTTCTTTTTGAATTCATGCGAATGATACCCTTGCATGTCAAACAAAAAAAAGTTTTCAGTGGGATTTATCACATGGAGATATAATAAAAGAACTAAAAAAAATGTTAATAGATGTAACATGAGAGATTAATTTGTGCAGCCAACCTTCCGCGGTGCCCTTTGCTTTAAAGGCTAAATGACTAGAGCCTTCGCAGGAGTCATATGACCCAACTCCCAACTTGGAACGGGCAATCCAGCAATATGCACATGGCCAACCCTACCAAGTGAGTCGAGCCATTGTTCCACCAATCCAATGCCCTCACTTGAGTCACTAGATAGCCCTCCAATAAAAGGATTTTTATTGAAGGGGAAGATTGTCATCGAAGCTATTACTGGGAATTGCGACATCCCTTGGCATATTTGTGCTATTTTGGAAGACATCAATGGATCGCTCATTTTTAGGAAAGCAAGTTTTGTGACGGATGTTCGCATTTTCATGAGGAATAATTGAACAATTTATATATTTGGGATGGATGTGTCCCTTTACACGTCAATGTGTTATTGAATGATTCTAGAGGCATGGGGTGTTCCTCTTACTTCTCTCTTTCCTAATTCATATTTTGTTTCTTAAAAAAAGAAAGGAGATTAATCTGAATTGAAACTTAGCCAAGGACTTTTGGTTAATCTAGTTTCTATTTTAACTTTACGTATAGCCTTTCTAACATAATTATGTGTATAATGCCAAATTTTACCAGAGTCCCTTTTACAGTAACATGTTATAATAGCAATAAACAATAAGGGTTTTTATCACAAACGATTTTTGAAATTGACATAACCCATCAAGATGACCATTAAAATTGAAAATCAATCAATGTAATTCCTAAAAATGGGTGTGGCAGATCAATGTGGTCATTTCGTCATAATTCCATAAAAAATTCTATTATGTGGTGATTTGGCACATAACTAGATTCCACAAATTTAATTTAATAGTATATTAAAACTACTTAAATAATTAAATACTTGAAAAAAGGAAAAAAGAAGAAGAAGATACTGTTCATCATCTTCTTTCCTCCGACCTTTCCACTACAGCCACCCTTCCACATCCTACGATGTTGTGACTTATGGGTATTGTGCTGTCAGACTTGTGGCCGAGTTCCCAGGCCAGTTGAAAAACCTTCACCTTCATTTTTAGTTCTTGATTCCTTGAATTTTCAAACGTATTTTTTGAAATAAGTTGCGGGTTGGACTGAGCTCAAATGCTGGAGAGAATCATTTGTGGAGGTTTTTTGAATGACTCCATCAACACATGAGTTCAATTACATGAGACATTTTGCAGGTGAATGGGCTCGACCAAAGGATCTGATGCCAGCCACGTGTGATGCTAGGATTTTTCAACACTCGGGAACTCGGCAATAAGTCTGATAGCGGCACTCTAAAGATGCCCACAACGTTGCGCGAGGGCGGAAGGATGAGGTGGGGCTATAGTGGAAGGGTCGAAGGGAAGAAGATGATGAACATTAGCCTTTTTTTTTTTTTTTTTTTTTTAAATTTATAATTTTTTAAGTGTTTAATTATTTAAAGTATTTTTAATATAATATTAAATTAAATATGTGGGATCTAATTATGTGACATATCAGTACATAACAAATTTTTATACGGAATTGTAACGGAAGAACCACATTGATTTGCGACACTCATTTTCAGGGACTACATTAATCAACCATCCTAATGGGATAAGTCAAATTCAAAGATCATTTGTAATAAAAACCCTAACAATAATAATTCAAAAGAGGAGAAGAAAACAAAACACATCAGAGTAAAAGCCTACAAGAGCATTACACTTTCAATTAAGAAACACAATTATCACTTCTATTCTTTATCAACCCGCTTCAACAAGTTCATTGTCATCTGCATCTCTATCTCCAAAGATGTCTAAATTTTACTTTTTAAATTCTATTTTGCGTTTTGTTACTTGAAATTCAATTGTGGTCTGGTTAGGTTATTCAATCCATCGATTGTATGACTACTGATTTATCTTATTTTGCATCTCTTTCTCATCAAACAAACATTTGAAAAAATGAAAATCTCGAGTACTGGAAGCGGAATCCAAGAGAAACAGCTCAATAGCTGGATTTACTTTACTAAAATGATGCAAAAACAATGAATTCCTATATCACATAGACAGTCTCATGGATGAATGTTTCTGAAAAAAAAATGCATGCTTGAACAGTTGATCCTTCAAGCAAATAATTATTGAAGGATCTGGAATTCCACTAAAATAAATCTGTGGTTATGAATACAAATTCCAAAACTACTTACAGGTTAATACATTATTTATTAGGGTGTGATATCCACATATCCTATTTTATTTCTCACATACCTTTTTAATTTTGATCGTCGGATCGTATGAATTGAAGAAGAATAACGAACATAAATTATCAAGGGATATATGAGAAGTAAAATGAGATGTGTGGATATCACACTCCTATTTCTATACTAAAACCCAAACTAGGATTTTTACTCCTATTACTTTAGTCTAAAGAAGAAGGCAAAATTGCACTGTAGACATGAACAGTATTTTGGACGACATTTCAGTTTATTTACAAGATTGCCACTCAGATGTTGTAACCAGCTTTCTCTTAACTTACAAAATTGCCACTCAGGCCTAAGGACCAATCTTCAGCCGTTCGCTGCATTTCAACGTTTGACTCGGCGAGAGAGAGGAGGGGGACATCACGGTTGACAAAGTGGAGAGAGACGATCGCTCCCATTTTTGACTCAGCTAGGTGTGCCTGTGGTGAGCGGAGAGAGGGGGACAGAGCGACTACAGAGGAGGGAGACACAGGGCCTGACAGATTGGAGAGAGATGGGAGCTAAGGGCTTGGACTAAGTGAGAAAGATATTTAGGTAGGTGCTCTGATAGGATCTATGGGATTTTCTCCCATTTTAGAGAGAGATGGACAGCGAGAGAGAGATACAGAGCGGAAAGCATAGGTGTGTGTATTCTTTGGGTCTTCCGAAAACGCTAGAAACCTAAAACATTCTTAGCTGCTCTGCAACGGGTTGGAGACTTCGATCATGCGTCCTACAGTCCACATCGATCTCTTCCATCTCTGCTTCGTGATCCCTTCAATCCCTTCAAGAGGTAATTAAATCCCACTTCTTTCTCTGATTCGTGCCTTATTCTCACTGTTTTTCTCGAATTGTTTTTTTTTTCTTCGATATTGTTGTGTTTCGATCCCAAAATTCTTCGTATTTTAAGGCATCTTATTTCTGGTATCTGATTTGTGGAGGGTTTTTGATCCTTTCAAACGTTGGGTGGTGGGTATTTTTGTCCAGGGAGAAAAATTTATCTGGTTAGGCTTTTTCCCTTTGAAAATTAATAGATGTTCAAATTCGGAACCGTGAATTATTAATTTATTTGTTGTTGCTGTAATTTAGGTACTTGAAAGCGAGGCAATCATGGTTAGATTTCATGTGGTTCATGAAAGATTCGGTCATGCTTTAGAAGGTTTGCCTGATGAACTTTGCCTATCAGATGAAGTTGAGGAACAAGTATATACATATATGTCCCTTTTATCCGTTTTCAAGCTAATGTTTCCCTTGTTTCTATACTAAAACTCAAACTAGGATTTTTACTGTTCATGAACAGTAAATTGGCAAAAATGCCCTTACCTGGTGCTGATTCTAAGGCCTTTTTGTTCTGTTTTGAACGTGTTCATGAACAGTAATTTGGCAAAAATGCCCTTATCTGGTGCTGATTCTAAGGCCTTTTTGTTCTGTTTTGAACTGTTCATGAACAGTAAATTGGCAAAAATGCCCTTATCTGGTGCTGATTCTAAGGCCTTTTTGTTCTGTTTTGAACGTGTTGGTCATCGTGGAAAAGGAAGGGACGAAATCGCGCTATTCCTCCGCTTCTTCCTATTAAACTTCGATTCCTCATGCGTTTGTCGTACAACAACGAAATCGCGCTGGTTTCGTTGATTTCGGTCCAAATTCCTTCGAATGTCCAGCGTTCGCATCTTTCTCTCGCCGATTATCCTCGGCGGTTTAACTTCTCCTTCCGTTTTAACTTCTCTGTCACAAATCTCTGCTTCTATCATGCCGACGGCGGTTTTTCTTGCCGGCAAAACCCATCAAGGTTTATTTTTGATTGAGCAGCTCCTTGATTGTTCAAATCTATGGTTTCCTTGATGAGATCTAGGTTTTTTGGGATTTCTGGGTATTTTTTTGGAATTGTTGTTTGCTGCCCTTGGATTGTTGAATTGTTAAAATTTATAATTCATATGAATCGTTTTTAATAAATCAGTGTTATCACGTGGAGCAGTTTACATAGTGCAACTTTATATTGGTTTTTTTTTTTTCAATCGTTCTTATACTATATTTGTTCTGACTTTTGATCAATTTGAATAGGTCCATAAAGCTGCCGGTGATAAATGGAAATCGCTTTCAGAGGCTGTGAGTAATTCTCTGCTTTGAATATTAAGTATTTAGGAGTGTAAATTTTAATTTATGAATGGGTTTTTTGTTTAAAGTTTGTCATTGTGATTTTGGGGGGTCTTGTTTGTAGCTTCGGATTCCCAACATGCTGTTTAATTTTGTTTTGTTTTTGGCTTTAGGAAGTCGTGGTTCCAGCTGTTCTTTCTCTGTTTGCTTCTAATGGTGTGCTTCCAAAGCATATTTTTTTTTTGGCAAATTCCCAGAGTACAAAGATAAGGATTTCCTGGGCGCCATGTGGTGTGTGTTCTGTTCCGATTTGTAGAAGATATTTGAAGGTAAGTTAGTTTAAAGCAATTCGAAAGTTTGGGAGGGTTTGGGATATTTTAAATTTTATCTAATTCCTGCAAAAACCATGTATAACAGTATAATTGTGTTTTGATTTTTTTTTTTTTTTTTTTAAATTGAGATAATCATGTTCAGTTTTTTGGTTTGATTTAAAGGAATTCCTTGCACAGAAAATTAGGGTTTTTTGATTAAAAAAGAAAAAAAATCTCAATGGATGCTATAAGAAAAGGAAAAGAGAAACAGAGGTGTAGTCGTTATCTTTGTTAATCTTTGGGATTTTTTTTTCTCACATTTTACCTTTCCTCAGTTGGTGTTCATTTATTTGATTTTTTTGTTTGTTTTAACCGTGAAAATTTTGAAACTTTTCTTATTTCAAATATTGGGTTTTCGAACCTAGCTGTAAAAATCCCAGTCGTGTTATTGGGTGGAAGATTTGGTGTAAAATTTTGGCATCGATTTATCAGTAACCATACAGAGCACAATGTTAAATCAAAAGAGAAAAACTACATCTTTCTCTTGACTATTTTCAGGGTTTCTGGCTGTGAGTCCACTTCAGAGGCCGGTTCGATATTCCATTGTTTGTGAGGTCACCACAAAGAAGCCCGACTCTGCTGTGAAGAGAGCCTGGCAGGCTGAAAAGAGGAGGATTTACAACCAATCCCGCAAATCCGAAATCAAAACCCGGATGAAGAAGGTATTTCTCTTTTCGGCAAGCTAATTTTATTTTAACTGAGGGGTTTTGCTTTTGATTGTGGACTAGAACAGTCGAAGAAGGTTTATTTTAATGGCTGAAGAAATTGGCTGAAGGTTTATTTCTTATAGACCAAATCTGCATGGATAAAAGACTCCAAATCTGCTCATGATTCCCAGATTATGTGACCTGCTTATATGATACTAATCCTTGAGCTTGGTGCTTTTCTGAAGCTCCTGACTGGGAATCACACTCAGGAAACTCTTCAATTTATGAATAAAGAATGCACGACTTCTGTGAATTTTCTTAATTTCCACTGTATGGATCAATGGACTTAACAGTATCTTATGTTTTCCTGCTATATTTTCTGCCAGTATTTTACTATCTTTGCCTATATTTTGCATTTTGTTTAGGTGTGTCAAATGCTCTGGATCATCACCTTCTACTCCACTCTACGTCCTGGTCTAAGCTACTATTGTCATGAGGTAAATTTATAGAAGACTGCAAGTTGTGGCTAGCTGGATGTAATCTTGAATCATTAAATTGTTGTAATTGAACGATGATTTACAATCAGGTACAACTGTCCCTTTCAGGGCTCTAATCTTGCCAGGCTGCCCCCTCCAGAGAGTACACTTGAAGTGCTCTTAATCAACTGTGGGTTTGAGTTATTCATCTTTTAAAACTGTGGATTAATTGGTTCTACTTCTGCATTTCCTCTTCATTAAAATGTTTACTTACCTGCTTTTAAGCATCTTTATTTATGTATCTATTTTTTAAAATGAATTTTAAAGATGTTATAGAAATTGGAAAAAGCAGCAGTTTGAGTACATAGTTTTAAGAACTTTGGGAAGGAATACTCGAAAAGAAGACTGACAATGGGTTAACTGTAGTTCCCTTTTTATATCATATTCTATTCCGTATTATTACACTATTGCGTCTGGAATAGCAACATTTATTCGGTGTCACCTAAAAAGTTTGTTATGATTGCTTCTTTGTTCAAGCCTGTGTTCAATAATAAAGTTGCATAATTTTGCGTATGAGTTTCCATCCCGCAGCAATGCGCGGGTACAATTTCTAGTTATATACGCTAAAACTTAGTTTCCTAACACTGTTCATTAACAGTGAAATGGCGAAATTGCCCTCTATTTCTTCTTGTTTCCCCGTTCTGTTCTCTTCTTGGCGTAGTGAAATGGCCTTTTTGCCCATGTTGGGCACGGGTCCATCATCCTACTTCTTTAGCCTTCAATTAGGTTTTTTCTTCCCTTTACCTTTCTGTTGGCCTTTCTCTCTCGCTGATCTATGCTTCGATCCGTCTTATTTTGCGTTCTGTTCTTCTAAAATCTTGCGTTCCTCTCAAATCCTCTGTACTTTATTTCACAAAATATTCACGAAGTTGGCCTCTAAAGTTTTATTCTTTGTTGTAAAATCTTGTGTTCCTTATTTTTGTTTTTTGGGGATTTCGTTTGTGGTCTCCGTTTTCAAAGAAGTCATGCATCCCTGTGAATGTAGATTTGTTGACGTTTTGTGGAAACTCATAAAATTGGTTTCCAAGGTTTTATCTTGAACTTTAATCGCCGGGAAGACTTTCTCTTTTTCCGTCGGTCATACCGGAGTTGTCGTCGAATTTCGGACGAATTTTCAGCCCAGCTTGGGAATGGCCTGTTTTGAGGTTATTGTCAAATAAATTCTATTGAACCCAGGTGCGTTTTATAACAGTTGTGTGATTTTTTTTATTTTGGAATTTTATTGATAACCCTAACGGTTTGGTTTTAAGGTGAGTTGTAGTGTTGTCGAGGCTATGCCGGCTAAAAGCGGATTCTGCCGTTGACGTCCTCTGTTGAAAAATCTGAAATTTGGCAGGAGCTGGAACCGTTGTTTTGGGTATGGTTTCCCTGCCTGCACTTCTTCATTATTCTGTATGCATTTCTTATTTAAATCATTGGAATTTGTGTTTTTGTTGAGTTTGATTTTGGTGTGAATTCATTCCGATGGATATCTCAAAATTTGAGAAGGCAGTTGTGCTTTTTTCAAATGTTTCTTCGCTTTGTGTGATTTCATTTAAATGGATGCCTCAAGGTTTTTTTCTACTCATTTTCTAATAATTCTGCCTGCTTTTTCCTTTGCTATAATTTTTTGAGCGTTCTTGCACTCCTAGGGAGATGAAATTGATATTAAATGTGGATCACAAATTTGGGAGTGTTTTAGGAGAGAAATGTTGGTTCTTCTCTGTTTCCAATTTTTTTAAAGGAAAACTAATGAAAAGGGTTTGAAAACTTTAAGTTTTAATGATAAGGACAAAATAAAGGGTAAAATGAATAGTATCAGGTTTGACTTTTTAGTTTAAAAATGTGGTTTTTCGTTAAAGTGAACAGTACTGCGGGTTTTTCGTTAAAACTTCCTTTTTTTAATTGGGTCTCTCTCTCATAATTGGTGGGTTAGAGTAGGGGATTAGGGGGTTGGTCAGAAATGTATACAAAGTAAAGATGAGGATGATTGAAATAAATACAAGTCCATTTGCTACTTTTCCACAACACAACTCACACTAAACCATACGCATACAACTTTTCACTTTTCCAATAATACAAACATCTGAAATAGGACAAGAAAATCCATCTGAAATAGGACGTGTTCCAAAGCGACAAAGAATAACAGAGGCACTAATGAAGTAGTAGCACTATTTTGTCAAGATAATGGAAGAGTAGTCTTCAAAGCATATAAGAAAATTTTCAGTTGTCATGTGGAGAATAATTCATATGCCAAATATTACTGTACGGGAATTAGCAATTACCTGATTAACCGTTTTCCACAATGCATGCAGCAGCCAGTAGCACTATATTCCTAGATGGTACCTTATCTAACTAGCAGTATGTATCGCGTTTAGAAAGGTTTAGGGATTTAGATACGCTTTGATCAGATGTTTCTTAGAAATTGATAAAGTAAATTTTGGATTGGGTGTCCTTGCAATGGCCAGCAACACCCTTTAGAGCAAAGATAAGAAATAGTGTGGACTGGAACTTCAATATCAATCCTATGACCTCTTAATTAATTATGTTGCTAAGATAAGAAATGCACCACCAAACAAATGGTTTTGTTATTCCTTTCTTTTCTATATGTGGAGCCAATTCTCTGTGGAGACGGTCATTTGTTTGATAGCAACCATTTTTTTTCTTGGTTGAAATAATAAACTTATGATTGAGAATACCTCATCTAGCTTATCCTCCATCAAACTTACCATGTCAATGCCTTATATTGCTTTTACAATATAATTATATGAGGCATGTCAATACAAGGAGTTTTCCCTGCTTTCTCATTCTTTAATGTACAAGAAAGTTAATGTCTTTTGCCTTTTTTTTTCTTTTTTCTTTTGCTTTGCACTCAAGGAACAAGTGCTTTTGATCACTTGTGCAGTTTGACTGCCAATTTGATAAACATATTGGGCCGACCGATCCCAATGCATCCCCTTGCTATTCTATTAGGTTTAATTCAAATAGTATTGTTTTTATCAGGGCTGTCATCTTTTGTACCCACCAGTTCGTTATTTTGTATGATTTCCACTTTGAATAAATATTTGTATAGTATGATTGTTTTTTAATTCCATTTTTTTTGTTACTGTGGAATGTTGATTACTGGTTTTGGATCGTCTATTTGTTTTTTAATGTATTTGCTCAAAGAAATTATACATATGTGAAGCAGCGATCTATTATCGTTGCTACGGTTGTAATACTTATGGTTACAATGTTACATGCAATGAAGAAATGAGACTTACATTGTTTTTATGAAATTAACTATATGTATTAAACTCAATTTACTTTTCTGAGCTAATGATAAGCGATGATTTATTTTTTTTAACAGGATTTGAAAAACAATTAGTTATTCTGGTTTCTAAGCTGTTTGTTTCTAGCTTCCAAAATGCTCTCTGCTCAAGGTTAGTAATTTAAACTTCTGGAATTATTTAATTGAAAGTTTAATCGTATAGTTTTCTATAGTTCAAGTCAACTTCTGTTACTGTTTATATTAGATGAGAGCTATATTGTTTTTGCATATATTTCATGACTTATTTGATTTTTTTTTTTTTTGGGTAAATCTCAGTTTACTACCTTCAAGTTTTGTGGTTTTCAACATTTGGTACATGAATTTTTTTCGTCATAGAGTAATACCTAAAGTGTTAATTTTGGGAGTCTCATAAATTCGTTAGTTTGGCTGTTAACTGATGATGTGGTGCTCATGTGGACAATGATTGGGCGTCATGTGTCAATATGGGGCCCTTATGAATATTAAAAAATAAAAATAAAAATAAAAAAATCTGGCTGTTCACCCTTTTGACCCCCTCCCTCCTCCGTCCCTTTTCTTCCCATAACCCACCCATTCCCCTCCCGTCTCTCCTTTGCAGTCCACACGGAGCTCTCCCACCCCTCCCTTCGATCCCTAAATAACCTCAGAATTCAGAATAGGTCTTTGGACAATGCTAGGATGAGACCGTGCAACATCTCTTTGCTCGAATCAGGGGTTCCAGAAACCCTAGCGATGAGATCTTTGGCTTTGTCTTCACTCACATGAGGGATTAGGGCGAGGACTCAAGCTTCATCGTCTTGGGTCCAAGGGATAGCTTCTAGGAATCGGAGGCAGAATCGAACGCATCCTCGAAAATAAACTCCGAAGCCATTGGGAGGAGGTCGAGCGTTGTCGACACATTGATTATGGTGGAGATCGAAGGCCTCTTGAGGACCCATCAAGTTCGACGACTTGCAATTCTGGATTTTTAATTTTTTATACCAGATTGATGTTAGGGTTAGGGATCGGAGGGAGGGGTGGGAAAGCTCTGTGTGGACAGCAGAGGAGAGAAGGAGGGAGAAGTAGGGGAATGGGTGGTTGTGCGGGGAGGATGGGTGCAGGGAAGAGAAGTGAGGGAGATGGAGGGAGGAGGGGTGAACTCTAGAATATATATATTTTTTTAATTCTTAAATTTAAAATTTTTTAATATTCACGTGGGCTCATATTGACACATGGTGCTCAATCATTGTCCACGTGGGTGCCACATAATCAGTTAATGGTTGATTTAACAGCCAGACTAACGAATGTATGAGACTGTTCCAAAATTAACACTTTAGGTATGACTTTGGAACGAAAAAAACTTCATGTATCAAATGTTAAAAATCACGAAACTTGATGGTGGTAAATTGAGATTTACCCTTTTTTTTTAAAAAAAAAATCTGTTTTGCAGTTTGTTTTTCAACAAATTGTAACAGTTTGTTTCCATCATGTCTAAAAAGCCTATAAATGGTCAAACAAATGATGCTATAAAGCAAAAACAAAATATCACTGATGACAAATACGATAATAAAGAGTGTAGAACCACTTATATGCATAATTCTCAGTGCTTCATCATGAGACCTTTTGCTGAGCATTGCGCCATTGAATGTGTTGATAATGATGAAATGGTAGATGTGACTAGGGATAGCAATTTAATTTGTCAAACCCGATACTTGTAGGTAACCGACCCGTTTGGTTTCGGGTAGTAAATTTTAGGTAACCGTTGGGTAAATTGTTCGATTTCGGGTTTGGTTATGGTTATAAGGGTATCCAATCCGAACCCGTACTTGAACCCGCCCTGTTTTCATTCATTAATAAAAAAAATATAAATATTTAGGGTAATGGACGAAAGGTGGGGAGGTTGAGGTATTTTTTGTATTTTACCCAAATATTTATTATATACATGTTTGTATAAAATAATTTTTTTGAGCCATGTGCTTCTCCCTTCCCCCATTTTTGTACTCTATGCTTCTCCCTTTCCCGAGCACCACACACACACATGCAAAACAAAGACCACACCATCTTCTCTCCCTCATCCTTCACTTTTCTCTTCTTCTCGTGCTCTTTCCCTGACCTCACTTCTCTGCAACTCTTTCTCTCTCTCTCTCCTCATTACACAGTACTCTCCTCAGTCCTCACCTCTCCCGAGCTACGCACACACGGCACCAACATCCACACCACACGACCCCATCGTTTCTGGCGAGCCCGCAAACCACACCCTCCAGACCCCCACCCCACCCCACACCACACCATCTCTGCAACCTCTCACTCTCTCTCCTCATCCCTCTTGCACCACCACCTCAAACTCCCTCGAGAACCAACCACCAAGACACCATCGGCCTCCCTTGTCCCTCTCATTGTTTAATCAGTTAAATTTTACAAGGAAAACTGTTACCTGATAGGTTCGGTTACGGAGAATACCCGTTCGGGTTTTTTTCGATTTCGGGTCCGGGGAAAACAAACGGGTTCAATTATGGGGATGGCACATCTGAACCCAATCCGTCCCATTGCCATCCCTAGATGTGACCCCACTTGAAAAAAAAATTGTACACACGTCATCGAAAAGGGAAAAACGTTGTTAGTTTGTCAAATAATGCTCAAAACAGAGTTGAAAAAACATTTCCTGGTGACAATTGTAGTCTTATGAATAAGGGTCAAGCCTTGTTCCAAAAAAATAGAAATGGTACGTTTTAAATTCTGCACATCATTAAGTTTTAACTTTAGCATTTACTTAATTGCATATTGTTGTGAAAGATTATGTAGACTTGGGTGATAAGAGTTATAAATGTGTTGAGTCTGGTGCATATTTTTGGTTAAAAGAGTCACTTAAACAAAGCTGGAAAA